GTTTGGGTTGTGAGTTAAATAACAGTAACAGTTTCTCTTGGCAGCAAAGATAAAGGTTTAGTGACAAAGTCATGAACCACTGCAAAAAAAAATTTTTTTTTGACGGGAGAGTTGGATGAAATTCAGATACTCAGGGTTCAGACAGGCTGTCATTAATTGGCCCCATTAATCCAGCACTTACCTTGGAAAAAGCAGCCGCCCCCTGATTTCCTCCTGGTTTGTTTTTCCAAGGTGTGTGGGCCCTCCAGGTCTTGGAAGGAGACTACTTTGCTTGATGTAATGGTTGACTGGAGGTCTTGTGACCTACAAGGGTTTTATTTGTTTTTGTCTTTTTTTTGGAAAAAAAAAAATAGAACCAGTCTTCTTTCTTCTTCCGGGGTAGAACTCGGTGAACAAGGAGACTTAACAGTTGCAGCCAGGAACTGTTTCTTAATAGGTAACTTTGTGAAATCATGGGAAATAACCTAGTTTTGAGGAATTCACAGCCCTCTCCCTCTCTCTGTTTTGGAGACCTGGAGACGGGGTGCCCCCTGTGCCTTCATGGGCACTCCCAGCGTGGCTGTAAGTGGAAAGCACACTTGGGATTTCCACTTTCACATGTAGGCACGGCAGAGGTCCCACCATGCCCCGTGCGGGTCCGCTCTCCCTGTTACACAGATGTGCTTCATGCAGTGTAGGCCTTGGCACAGATGGAGGAGGCCGTGTTTATCTGCTATCCCAGGGGTGCCCCTAATGTCATCAGGGCCTCTTCCACCCTCCCTTTCCTTGCCATATAAGGGCAGAAGTTTAGTTTGGCTGTGGTTGGTCGGCCTTCCACAGCAAGTTGGGTGACACCCTCTCCGTATCACTATGGTTTACATGAAATAAAAAGATTTGACCTTTGATCCTCCCATGTTCCAGTCTAGTTCAGGTAGGACTTTGCAAACATATTCCAGAGGATTGGTTTTAAGGCTCCAATATCATTTTACCTGTGTAACTTAATTGCCTTAACTGGAGCGCTTTTTTTTTTTTTTTTTAAGTAAGAGTTGTTGCTGTTTTAAGGGTTTGGGGTTGTATTGGTTAACACATGTGGATGTCATGAAAATCTCAGGTCTTAAATTTTTTTTTTTCTTTTCCAAATCTGATACAGGGTGAGATCTTGCTATCTTGGGTGGATGTGCAGACTTCTGCGTGGTACCTTTTGGGGTGAGGGGTGGTATGTATGGCCATTTTTTCTGTGCCTGTTGCTAGTCCCTTGTTGGGTCCAGTAAAGGGAGTGCTAGGCTGCCCTTGACTTGTGTGTAGGTAGGTAGTAGCTGGGCTTGCCCTTGACTTGTGTGCTAGGGACTGCTAGGCTTGCCCTTGGCTTGTGTGTAGGTAGGTGGGGGAGCATGCATCCCTGAGGGGCCTAAGGTTTGGAGCGCTAGGCGGAGCTTTACCCCTGCATCTGCAGGAAGACATCCTAAGTAGCCTTACTACTACAAGAGTCTCTATGTAGCTCCTTCTACTCTGAGATGCAGTAGCACTTTAGAAATATAAGAAACCAGCATCTCAAACTGAAAGGCTTCATTCCTGGGCAGTACTGACACATGGGCCCTTGGTGGAAGAACCTTGAATATGCAAAGAGCAATTCACATTCCTGGAAATAATTTTTTCTTGGGTCTTGACCCTCCGCAAATGCCTTGCTGTCTATGTCTGCTTTTAACTGGCAGATGGCCATGTGGCAGGAGGCTCGGATTGACAGGGGCAACAATGAAAAGAACCTTAGAGAACACCTCAGAGGGGCCTCCAAAGTGAGAAGCAGCACTCAGAAATAAAGCCAGTAAAGGTGCCTTAGGAGCAGGAATAAATCGGGAAAGAAGTTAGAATGGAAAGAGTGTGCCTTGATTAAATTATGAAGTTAAACTTCTTGGGTCTGAAGGAACTGAATAGAATGTCTGTTAGAGCAGTCTGACAGCGCCCGGGGAGCCAGCAGAGTTAGGGCTGCCCCAGGGGAGCTCGGGGGACGATACAGTGGAGGAACCTCAGGCCCTTGTCCTGCTCTGAGTCCTGGGTGGTCAGCGCTGGGTCCCAGACCGGAGAACACACGCCCCATGTCCTTGTGTGAGCGAGCTGTTCACCCTTAGTGTTCACTTTCCGTTTTTCACCCTGCCTTACTTCAGAAAGGTTTGGGATAAAAGACATGTTTAGTGACTGATCACACCAGAACGTCCTTCTGCTGGGGAATCTGCGCAGGCCCTTCTTGGGGTGCAGTGAGCAGTGGTACAGAACTCCTACTCTGATGTCAGAGGGGAGAGAGAGATGCTAGTGCGATAGCCACCAATCCCAGGGCTTCCCTGGTGTTCCAGGGTATCGGGAGGAGAGAGGCAGGAGCCAGTGCATTAGGGAGCCTAGGTGCCCACTCAGCAGGTCAGAGGTCCCGCTCCTCTTGGTTTTCGGGAGAGTTCGATGGGGGATGGGCGGCCCCTCAGGACTGACAACCCCCGGGGTGGGGGTGGAGGGGTGCTTGTTTATAGCACAGATTCCTGCCCTCCTCCTCTGACCTTCTGAATCAGAATCTCTGGGGACAGGGCCCGGATGCTTGTATTTTTAATACATATGGCCTAGTTGATTCTGACACCCAGCCAGGGATTCTTCCAGCTTAAAAAACAAACAAACCAAAAAGAGACCCCGTTTTGCAGCCTTCCAGGGGCTCCCTGGGAAAGGCAGCCACCCACAGGTCTCCTCTCCGTGCAGCAGGCCTGGCTTTGCCCCACAGTCTGTGTTCCCAGTCATCCCATGGCACCCTGGCGCAGCGCCCCCAGGCGGGTACTTTGCGGGGCACTAAGCCATACTGTCCGGGATTGCAGGGTTCTCCAGAATGCCCCTGAAGGAAGAGAAGTGCCATATGCCAAACAGCGTTCAGCAGAACGGTGCTGAGAGCTAGGGGAGAGGTGAGGCCTGGGGGTCAGGAAGAGGCTCAGGTGGGCTGATTGGATTGGCAGAGGTGGGAATGACCAGAGAGGGTGTCTGCCCCTCTGTAGCGGCCAGGTATGTGGGGGCTGGTGACACCGGCTCAGCTGTCGCCCAGTTTTTCATCCGGTTTGTTCCCCGGAGCGTAAACAGCCTACCTTCCACCTGTGAGTACAAAGTCCTACAGGTTTGGGCCCATGTGTGTCTCAAACAGAACCAGGAATTTAAACCGTTGAGTACAAAAGTGTTTTTGAAAATCTTGCCGCCATTTCTCTGACAGCCCACAGCATTTACAATATTATAAAAAGCAATAATAATAGAAGGGGGAAGAACTTCTGGACACGGGGCTAAGGCACTGCAGAGGTTTATTTGCTTTTCATTTTTGTTGCAACTTTCAGGATTGCGTGCTTATCCCCTACCCCAGTGATGGCGGACCTTTTAGAGCCTTGAATGATATAAGCAGCCCACTGGGACCCATGTGCCATAGGTCCAGCACCCCTGCCCGCCCCACCACTCATCCATAAAAAGAGTCGGATATAACTGGAGATGGAAAATACAGTAAAGTGACGATATCTCACCTAAACCAGAGTGTTCCTTGAATGTATTCATCTTTCTGGTTTTTTCTTTTTAACAGGGCTTTAAGATTTTTAAAAGGTAGTTCCCTGCATATAAGAAATGTTGTCCCTACTACCCTCACCCTTCAGAAAAACAACTCCAAATCAGCAGTCATCTGCCAGGCATTCCTGGCTAGGCCCAGTTACTACCTGCGTGGGGAGAACGACTGACTTTCAGGGCTGCTTGGGCAATGGTTCAGTATTAATTTAAGTTTTTTTTATATCTTTCACTGTGGTTGAAGATGTCCCATTCACCTCTCTTCCCAGATTAAAATCCGACAGTTAAAGTTTTACCAATCCAGGTGAGCAGAGAATGGAATGTTGTCTTGTCATTCAAGGCCATGACTACAACCCCTCTAACTGTGTGTTCATTGTAGTCTGTGTCATGGATCCATGAACGGAGAAATTATTTCTGTTTAAATAAGGTTGCTTTCACTTACCTGGTTGAGTAGACATTTTTTGGGCCCATACTCTGCAGAAAACTGATCTTCTGAATGTTAGCAGCTTAGAGTTGAGTAAGGAAGACAGGTGTACGTACAGAACTATTGTAGTCTCCCAAGTATGTATTGTGATGCTTTGAAAGCTCCCAAATGTCGTGAAAACCCATCACCGCTTGATAAGAAACACATCCAAGTGGATGAGGATAAGTAAATGGTACCTAATTAGTACATTCCATCCCTTCCAGCAGCCACTGAATGACTGCCCATGCAGTATTCTCAGATACACAGTAATAGATGCTTATGACAGGAAGTATTGTATTTCCCAGAGAGAAACATTTTGTTTCAGCCAGTGCCAGTATAGCTTTTCTGCTTAGGAGTTTGATACATTTCCGGTAGCAACCTTGACTCATAAGAAATTTCAGTAGACGTAAGTGCAGCACACTTGGGAGATCTGTGCTGGCCTTATTCCTGTGGGACCAGTTATTCCACAGAGGTTACCGAAAAGGCAGGAGGGTCAAGGGGGGGGGGTTCCTGGAGGGAGGTCCTGGGTTGCATGATTGAGTCTCCATACAGTATGTATTTTTAAACCACTGAATTTTAAAATACTCAGTTCCTTTATAAGTGGCAAGGTGGCTCAGAGGAGTTGAAGGACAACTCCCAGTTCCCAGTGCTGGCTGTACTGCTGTCGCGTGGCTGAGCCTGGGTAAGTTGTCTGTGCACACCTGGGGCCCCCAGGAAGCAGGTGGCTGTGAAGTGGGTCTCCTCTGACAGCCAGGTAAACCCAGGGCGTTGGAATCCGTGGGAAAAAGAGCCACGCAACGTGCTTGCTCGTGATCCATCTGTCAGATGAGTTGTGTGCGTAAGTTTACAGGTGTGATGTTCTCCGTGTAATCCCCGTACTCTGGCACTGGCTAGCGCTCAGAGGTAGCTCACCACCGGGCCCGGACCTAGCGTCTGAAGATGCCCCCATTGCTGTCTCCCCATCCCTGAGATGCCTCTTATTCTCTCTGCCCAGGCTGAAGCCGACGTAGCTTCTCTGAACAGACGCATCCAGCTGGTTGAGGAGGAGCTGGATCGCGCTCAGGAGCGTCTGGCCACAGCTTTGCAGAAGCTGGAAGAGGCCGAGAAGGCAGCAGATGAGAGCGAGAGGTGAGGCCGCCTCGTCCAGCCCTTGCGCCGCCCCCTCCCCCCGGTGTGGTGAATGGAGGGCTGAGAACTTCACAGCCCTCAGCGGGTTAGCTCCTGAGCTGATCCACACTGCCTTAGTGCTGTCCAGCAGTGGAGCACCGCCACGCACGGAACTGAGTCCCAGAGTTACATAGAAGAGACAGCTCCTGCCCTAGCAGAGCTCGCCAGCGGCGCAGGAGACGGGCACAGAAACGAGAAGTTCCGGGTTCTTTCATTCCCGCTGGCCAAAGAGCAATGGAGCGTTTTAAAAATGATGATGATGATAACTTTATTTTAAAATATGCCAAGGAGGCCGGGGGTCTAGCTCAGCGGCAGCGCCTGCCCGGCCAGCACAAGGTCCTGAGTTCAGTTTTCGGCACCAAACAAACAAAAAATGCCAAGGAATTTTAGACCTAGGAACTGTGGGCTGTCATTTAGCAGATAGATGGGGAGAAAGCTGAGATAGAACAGAAATAAGTTCTGCAGAGGTCAGTCATTTTGGACTGGGTGTTAGTTCAGATAGGACATGTGGGCACATAGTAATACAGCCAAGTGGTTGTGTGTCTACTGAGACCTGGCTCTACCAGACTTACTAGCCCAAGACTCAGATTTGTGGTAGTACAGGGATGCCATGGTTTGTAGAGTCTGGCGGCAAACCCTGTGAATTCTGGAAGGCGTTCTCTTCTGTGTTCAGCTTGTGAAGCCTAGCATATTAGAAGCATCTGGAAAGACTCCGTGAGATGAGAGAGGGCCTGCTGTAGGGGTGGCCTCGTGCTGTGACCCAGGCAGGCGAATGCAGTTGGTCATCCTGTCCACTTCATCCTCGGAGTACGTCTCTGCTCCCTGTCACCACATTACAAAGAGTGACTTCAGACTTTGGGGTTCAAGAAGCTTTTTAAGTAAAGTGTGGGCCTCATTCTTGACTGCTGCTTGGCTTTCTTCACTCGTCAAGTGTGTTGGGCTCTTTAAGATGCCCCGTCATCACTTACAGTATATACCTAACAGTATGGTTATGGCTGAAATACTTCTGTTCCGTGAACCTTAAAAGCAGTCTCATAATGGTAGATCATAAGATAGAAATCCAGTCGCCTGGTTTCACAAATGAGAATACTAGAGCTCAGAGACTGACATCTCCTGCCCTAAAACTGACAGTGTGTTTGTGGTTGGGCCAAGATAGGACTAGGACTTGGATCTCCTTAAATAAATTCTAGCGCCTTATCAAAAACTAGTGGTTTCTCGGGAGGCTGAGGCAGGAGGATAGCCGCACGTTTGAGGCCAGCCTGGGCTACAAAGTGAGTTCAAAGCCATCCTGAACTGCATAGTGAAAACCTGTCTCAAAAAGACAAAAAACAAAAGTGGTTTACTTCTTATTGCCTAGTTAAATTTGGTTGAATCAAGATTCCATTTCAATGTGATTTATTCCATAAATCTGTAAAACATGACAGATGAGGTCATTTTATGAAACCTAACTTTGTGCCACAGGATCCAGTATGCACCTGAGTGTAAAAGACAGTGCTGCTTCTGTCTCCCAGCACCTCTGTTTACAGAGGATTTGATTACAGGCAAAACTCAGTTTCTTAGCTGACGAGTTCGGTTGAATCTGTACGCCCATTTTTACAGGTCTGAAGTGGCCAGTACCAGCAGTCTCCTGTGAGCTAGTCTAGTTTTTCGGCTAGTGGTCAATGGGGAAAGAACCTTTTTTGTAGGAAGAGGTACATGAATATAATTTTGCTTTTGTTCTGGATTTTCTCCCTTTTGAAGCAGAGACTTCTTCCCTCAGGAAATTCCAAATTCCATCATGTGTTTCACAATGAAATATGTTGGCCTTGTGTGTCTCTTGCCTCCCAGAGTCAAACAGGACCCTGACATTGTAGCTTTTGTGTAACGTTGGGTGCCTGGGCAGTTTCACCAGTTCCCAAAGTGTGAGGTTTCATTCATAACAAGCAGAGAGAAATGTGTGTCTTATTTCTGCCGTTAGCTCTGGAAAGTCTTGCTTCATCACTGGGAAAATAAAAGTGGCTCTGTGCTCTGCTGGTCTGCCTTGTGCGGTGCGCCTCCTGGACCTCAGCAGCGCGGTGTGAGTTTGGGGCGGTCGCCTCTAAATCTTCCGTTTTCCTGCTTGTCTTTCTCTGCCAGAGGCATGAAAGTCATTGAAAGCCGAGCCCAGAAGGATGAAGAAAAGATGGAAATTCAGGAGATCCAACTGAAAGAGGCCAAGCACATTGCTGAAGATGCCGACCGCAAGTATGAAGAGGTCAGATCCCGGGGCCCACACCCAGCAGTGGCCTTTGGGGAGCCTTGACTCCTGAGGGAAGCAGCCCGCTTTCTTGGTAGAAATGAGTGGTTTTGAGAAGCCAGATCCCTTTGTCTCTAGATCATGGTGTTCTCAGTTTGATCCTGCTGGGGAACCCCAAGCTTTACCACGAAACTAATCAACAGCGAGACCAGCTCCCCCCACCTCACCCCCAAAAGACCAACAGGAAAGAGCACGTGGGGCCCTTGAGGAAGGAGGTTCATGCTGTCCATAGTGCAAGTAGTTCTTCCCAGTGTCCTTTACCTGGCGGTCCAGTGTAGGGGGCCACACAGCTGTGGAGTAGATTTGGAGGGGCCCCTCCTCCAGGCTGACAGAAACCCACAGTCCACACAGGTGCTTGGGTGCACCAGTTCTGCTCCTGCTCACGTGGGAACCACCAGGGAGCTAGATGTAGTGGCGCACGCCTGTAATCCTAGCTACTCAGGAGGCTGAGGCAGGGGGATTGCAAGTTCAAGGCCAGCCTGGGCAACTCAGCAAGACCTTGTTTCCACATTTAAAAAGGGGCTGGAAATGTAGCTCAGAGGTAGAGTGTCACTGTACTACAATACCACCAAAAAAACCCATAGGTGACAGCAGATCTAACGTGCCTGCTGCAGTTTTCATTTTCTTCTTTTTTGTGTCATGTCAGGCACCACCCCTCCGCCCTCTTCGTACCGTCTCCAGATTATGTCGTGCCCACTGACTTCACACTGCTCCCAAGGACGCCCTGTTCTCTCGGGTTCTTTCTTGCGCTGAACCCACACTTGACGGTGTTAGCCCTTTCCCCACGTGGTCTCACGCTGGCTTCTCCCGCCTCCTCAACCACCCTCACAAGAAGGGTACTGACTCGAGGCAGTTCTTAGGTTTTCAGTGGCGGGTGTTTGGCAGTCCCCACCTTTTCAGTATAACGTGTCCGGTCGCATCCTGCTGTGTCTGAGGACACAGACGTCCTCTCTCTTCTCCTCCTGTTGTTGGGCTGCTGTATAATTCTGCACACTGCGGCGGGCTTGGTCTGCTGACACCCTGCCCTGTAAGCTGCCCACTCCGGGTCCTGTGAGCCGCCTCTGGCCGCCTCCCGCCCGCACTCCTTGGGGGTGTCTGCTGGAATGAGGAGTGTCGTGTAGATGGAAGCTGGCGGTAGGGGGCTGGTGGCACCTGGTCCCCCATCCCCACAGCCTCCTGTACAAAGCCCACGAGCCCCACAGGCTCTGTGTCTTTGTTTTCCCCCCCGCAGGTGGCCCGTAAGCTGGTCATCATTGAGAGCGACCTGGAACGCGCAGAGGAGAGGGCCGAGCTCTCGGAAGGGTAAGCGGGCCGGCAACAGGAGGCCACACGTGGGGTGCCGCAGAGCAGTGACTAAACAGCATGACCGTCTGGCAGCTGCACCTTGGCCTGTCTCGGCTCCCGGCTCCCCCCGCGCTCACTGGTGGTGGACGAGCCGCGAGTCCGGCACGCGGAGACTCGTGCGGGGTGTCTGCGTGAATGCGTGTGTCACTGCATGCCTTACCCGCACACTGATTTTGTGAATGGCCTTGTGCATTTCCTGTGTCCACTAACAGCCAAGTCCGACAGCTGGAAGAACAGCTAAGAATTATGGATCAGACCTTGAAAGCATTAATGGCTGCAGAGGATAAGGTACTGATGGCTCACGTGTGGTTTAGGTTTAACCGTAACCCAGACGTCTGTCAGCTTCCGAGGCCTACTGGTTGGTTTGGTGTAACGACTGCACCTTCACCGCACCCTCTGCTGTCTTTATCTTGCTTTAAGTGCTTCCTCTTGGTCCTTCGTTCTCCCTTCATAAATGCTCTAAGGGGCTGCCCAATAAGAAGCCAAATCATCATTCTGCAGCGTTGTTCGATTTTTGTCACCCGCCTGTCCCACTCTTGCGAGCTGGAGGGCAGTGTGCGCGGTGAAGCTGCCCTTTCCAGAACTGATGGCTTGGCTATTTGAAGGCGGCCCTTCATCTCCAGGACTTGGTTCTCACTTTTTCCCATCCTTCTCCTTTTTCTCTCCTCCTTCCCTTGGCTTGTCTCCCACCCTTTCTGCCTCTGATCGAAAACATTAGCAAATGTGCCGAGCTTGAAGAAGAATTGAAAACTGTGACGAACAACTTGAAGTCACTGGAGGCTCAGGCTGAGAAGGTAGGCCCGGAGCACGACACGGGGACCTCACCTTCTAAGGCCTGCTCGAGAGAAGCCGTGCTGAGGAAAACGGCGCAGCAGGCGTCTTAGTAAAGGGCGGCATTTGGAGATGCCTCTCTGATGATGGCTAGATAACAGTTTTTAAATTTTTAAAATAGAGAATGTATTTTATGTTGGGTCTGTGAGTCACCCATTTAATCTCAACCAAGTGCCAAGCGGATAAGTTATCTTGTTCCTATCCCGTGTAAAACAATAGGCAAGAAAGCAGAGAATGCATAGTCGTTGCCATTTGATCCTGGAGGCTCTGTTACCTCCGAGGAGAGCTGTAACATCTGTTGGTTGAGCTGGCACGTCCTTCTGCGTTAGAATTAGGAGTCGTGGGGCCGTGAGCCGCGGCCTGACATCTGGAATGCTCTTTCTAATTACAGTACTCGCAGAAGGAAGACAAGTACGAGGAGGAGATCAAGGTCCTTTCTGACAAGCTGAAGGAGGTAATCCCACAAGCGTTTTAGATGAAGCAAACTGGATTTTAATTAAATGTGTGTCCTGGAGCTGGTCAGGACTGTATCACTTTGAAGTCAGTAAACCCAAGTCAGGGATATTTGGAGAGAGTCCGGGAGCAAGCACGCTGTGTCAGCTGCCGTTGCTGACGACAGCGACAAAGGGACACTCCGTTTCAGTCCCGTTGCACAGTGGGTGACATGCTTGGGTTTCGTCCTCTGTCTTTCCCCATATTTACAGCAGCTGGAACCCTGAAACTTCCCAGCTTTGACTCAAATAAATTAAATCCTTGCAGGCTGAGACTCGGGCTGAGTTTGCAGAGAGGTCAGTAACTAAATTGGAGAAAAGCATTGACGACCTAGAAGGTAAGATCTTCAAAGTTATTTTCAGTTCAGTCCTGAGAGTTGAATACTGCCCCGCAAAAACAGTCATCCAAGCCAAGAGCATCCATCTCAGCAAACGTCTGCTCTCTTGCACTCTTCCCGACTGTCCTCTGGGGTTTTCGCCTGCGGCTCTTAAACTCTTGCGCCTGAAACCTCAGGACACGATGTCGCTGCTTACCCACCCAACAGCACGCCTCTGTCTGTAACGACAAATGCCACGCAGCTGTCCTTCCTGTTCCTCAGCATTGTGGCAGGCTGGTTTGACATTATGAGCAAGGTGCTTGCTTACAGGCGAGAGTGACGAGGGTCTATTTTGTGTCCTGGGTAGATGCTTCCCATTGTCAGAAGGATGTGGATTTGTTTTAGATTCAACCTGTCGTCTTGCAGGGCTGAGATCAGTGGAAGTGTTTGGGGTTTTTTAAATCCTCCATTAATATTAATTTATAGCCTGGAAGGGTTGGGGGGTGAGAATCAGCGGGGCATTATATTTTGAGATTATGTTTACAAGTTTTTCTCTTAAAGCATCAGGTTGTATTTGCCCATTCTTCCCTCCCAGGAATGCTAAATTGTGAGCTCTGAGGCCTATGGAGGCTTAGCTGGGGCAGAGGAAGAAAAATAGATATCGCAGGCAGGAGAGAAGGGACTGGAGGTTGTATGGGTAAAAGCTGAGATAGCAGAGAAGAAAGAGTGACAGCAGATTCTAAACGGTGCCCAGGGACAGCAAAGTAGGAGAGCTGCGTCATTACCAAAAAAGTACATTGTGACTTAGCTGCCGCCACCACCACTACCACCACCATAAAAAGTGTGACTATTGCTTTTGAAGCTGCCTGGGCCAGGAACATGCAGCCTAAGTGGGACGACCACAGGCATCATTTAAATGACACTAAAAACATGAATATCTCAGGGGTCTAGTTGGGCCCAGAAGTCAGCGGTTTGAAGGTGGAGCTCGCTAAGGATTACAGGCCAGCCCTGCAAATTGCCCTTCCAAAACACTGCCATTAGGTATTTTTTCCATTGTTTATAACTCCAGGTAGCTAAACACAGCTCTGATAAAGAAAGATGTTCCATTACACACCAGGAAAGACAGCCTTCTGTGGCTTTGTTTAGGACTTAACATGGTTTACTGATATACCTACCATATTTGTTATGATTTTCATATTGAGTCTTTCTCATTTTATTTTCTAATGGGTTTTGTTCTCTTTGTTTTTGTTTCGATTTATTTAAAAACAAAACGCACGCCTCCTGCACGGGCCACCTGCCGCGGCACCAACCCCTCCATGCATTGCCCTCTCTTTGCTGCTGGGTCGGGATGGCGCCGGGGCCGCCCCACTCACCCTCCATCTCTTCTTGGTCACCCTCCATGTCTTTGCACCTCTGCCTTCCACTTGCTGGTCCTAGACGAGCTGTATGCTCAGAAACTGAAGTACAAGGCCATCAGCGAAGAGCTGGACCACGCTCTCAACGATATGACTTCCATGTAAATGTCCATGCGCCCTGCCTGCTCGCTCGCACCCGCGCCCCGCGCTTCTGTGATAAACTCGCCACCACCCCTTCCTCTCCGCGGCCTCCATCCTGGTGCCTTTCTGTTTGCTTTCTCGCATAACCTCGGCTGGTCGTTGCTTTTCTCACATTGTACTAACATAAAGGCCAAGCTAGACTGAGTCTGGACAAACCGTTTTCCTTTCAAAATCTTTTAGTATTTCCTAAATGCTGAAGTAGATGGTTCCCACAGAGTGATGAGCTAGAGTATGAGTGACTCGAGCTCTGTTCTTCTAAGAAATTAAACTAGATGCCAGTAAAGATCGAAAGCCGTGCAGCGCTGCAGGAACTTCTCAGATATCACTGTTGGTTTCCTGAGTCTCTAAGTACAATATAGTCATTTTCATAAAAGAAAGGTACATGGAAGGAAACCCTAACGCGTCAGGTGGTTGAGGAGCTGAGGAAGTCGGCATGACCCAGCGTAACCTAGAGACCAGGTCCATAAACCGACATCCTCCTCACTTGCAGGAATTGTGCAGACAGTGAAGATCTCTGCCGAGTACCCCAGCCTTTCGTTGTCCGAGTTTATATCACAAGGAATCACAGTACTCACAGGAAACACTTAGGGCCGTGAGATACAATTTATACCGTGTGAATCTGGGCATTTCTCATGAGGCAGTAACAGCAGCAGCAGGTCACCTTGATCTCGTGAGGAGGCTTGTACTCACACACAACTAATGTCCGTATTACTAACCATATGTGAGCATCAATCTTGTCGGCCTCTTTAATTCTAACCTGGAGTGTTTCACAGACAGTGTTGGGATTCAAACTCAGGGTCTGGCACTTGCCGGGCAGGTGCTGTGCCGCTGAGCTACCTCCCCAGCTCACAGGCAACTCTTGATTCGAATCCCACAGTGGATTCCTTTAATGCTGGAGCCGCCCCTTGCTGCTTTTTACCATGCAGAGAAAGGGTGGCTTCCAGACAGTGGCACTGTGCCTGCTGCCTTGGAGGTTATAGAATGCCCACACTCCAAGGGAAAAGCCCTTAGAGACAGGACTGTCACCATGCGAACTGCAGAGCGGGCGTCTTCTCCCTCGTTTGTGAATGGAGGGTGGGCCCCGGTATGTGTCTCTAAGGTCCTCCCAGTGCTAAAATGGGGTGGTTTTATGTGGAAAACTTTCAACATCCTTAAGTGTGGTTCAGCTTAGCATCTGTTTTTCAATTCTGCTCATGGGTCTTCCTGGAAGTTGGCCCATGACAGCGCCCGGGCACAGACGCAGGTGGCTGTAGTCCCCGAGGACGCACCATCCCCGAGGGCGCGGCTGGCCATGGGTTTTGCATGACTGCTGCTTGCCTGGGTAGCAAGTGCCGCTTCCATCTGTCACTTTGGTTTTCCTTTTTCCCATTGTACCACTTTTTTTTCCTGTATCTCCACCCTTTTGTCTTCACACAGATAAGTTTCTTTGCTTCACTTCTCCCAAGACTCCTTCAGCAAGCTGGATGTCCCACCTCTCTGAGCTGTGCCTTTGCCTCTTCTCCAGCTGACCCTGGTTCTTTCCTTTAGCACCCGCCTAGGGCCAGGCACACACTGTGCTTTCTGTTGTATAGTTGGTTCCAGTGTAAAATAAACACTGTGTGAGCTGTTTCTCGTTGCTATTCTTTTTACCTCTTTATTTATTGATGTTTTCATTTCACCGCTGAATAAAACCACAATTCTGCTTCATGCCTATAAGGGTTAATGTTTGGCTGCTGCTTTTTTTTTTTCCCCCCCACTCTCAGCATCATACATTATGTCAAGGTTTCAAATGCAGTAGTTCCTTGCAGAACTCTTGAAGATAATGCACACGCCTGCAGCCTTCCGGGAATTTTGGTTTCCAGAAGCTGTCGTGAGACCCAGGCAGGCATCTATGGTTTTAGCAATTGTGCTGGGCACAGGGGGACAGGGCTTGCTAGGAATCAGACGTGGCTAAGCAGTGTCTTCCTTTGCCAGAGGTTTATATTGAGCTGTGCTGCTACTAGAGGGCGCAGCTCATGAGGGCTCACCATACAGCTGTCCCACAGGGCTGGGACTTTATATATTGGAAAAGGTAAAAAAGACGTTAGATTCAAGTAGTGTAACTTGTGGTTATTGTGAGTTGTCCTCTGACAGCACAAAGATGAGTTTGAGCTTTTTTTTTTTTAAGTATATTTGTGAGTTAGGCACCTACGTTTTGATCATGAAAATGACCCCGTAGGTCTTCTACATATAATTTCTGTGTTCAGGTCATGGTTTATTTTTGTGCCCCTAAGGATACCACGTATTCTTTTGGAAGGATTGTACCTACACAACCTTTGTGTTTAATAGTGGGCTTTACCCTTAATTATGGGCATTTTAAAAATACAGCCATTACCGTTGATTCTTCACCACCACCACGAGTGATTTTAGTGGAAATTATTAATTATTCAGTTTTGGTTTTGTTTTTGTTTTTTTTTGGTTTTTGGTTTTTCTCCAGTACTGGGAACCAAACTCACGACCTTGCGCTTGCCAGGCAGGCGCTTTGCCACTGAGCTAAATCTCCCCAGCCCCTATTCAGTTGTTTTATTTGACCTTCACTAATGTACTTCACAAAAGCAATGGATTTTTTTTTTTTTTTTTTATCTGTAAAATTAGAACTGCAGAATCCCCCAAATTTCTCTTTCCTGAATAGTCTGGCTCTGTTTCTTTTGTATTTTCAGTGTGGGAACCCTCATTGGCCTTGTGTGCGGTGTGTGTTCTCCCAGGAGGGCTGTCCCACCACTGTACTCAATTTGGATGAACTCTGAGTGTAGTGTCAGTCAGACTACAGACCCTTAGGAGCAGAGACAAAATACTTGCTTTTAAAGAAGCTATGAATTAAAGGACTTTAGGGCTGGGCATATAGCTCAGTGGGACAGTGCCTGCCTGAACTAAAGAATTTTAGTAATGCTGTGGTAGGCTTTTTAAAATTTAGAATCTGGGTAGTGTCTCTCCCTTGAGAGTATGAAGCCTTCTGTAAATTTGTGGTTGTCTCTTCCTAAGGGACCTAAGGGCCCTCAGGCTTTTGACCATGATTCCTGCCTCGTTCCTTTTCAAATTGAGAGCAGTAGAAGTGACCCGTTCTGTGAGTAATCCTGCCGCAGACAGAATGACAGCGCTGAAAGTTCTGCCGAGCAGATGTTCCGCTCAGTCTGGAGGTGCAGCTGTCTCTGGGTCTCCATCCAAAGACTGCACACACCCCAAGTGTCCTGCACAAAGGAAATGGGGAAAGAACAGATCGGCATGGCAGGTCTTAAGTAACAGAAGGAGGGTGAGCGGCAAGTTGGGTTTATCAAGGAATTGTTGGAGTTCGGGGTTCTAGTCCAGAGGACCAGGCCATAGCTTCAGCTGCTGCCAGAGACGCAGTTGAACCAAACCAGAAACATGGCTGACACTGGGCCCCAGAGGCCTCGGCCATCTGGGATTCTGTGTAGAACGAGCGGGAAGCACTTCCAAGTGTACACAGGAGCACGTAGGCACGCCAGCTGATGGAGCACAGGCCCAGGAAAGGCGAGGATAGGGCGCGGTGTCACTGGAAAGCTGAATTAACACTGGCCCGGTGGGTTCTGTGGAGTTCCTCCGGAGCACTTCCCTTCCTGCTGGGGCAGACGTTTGGGCCCAGCAAACAGACATCCCATCCTTGGTGGCTTTTTCCTGTGACAGTAATGTATATGGAGCACCAGGGTTCACACTTGGCAACGCCCAAACACAGGCAGCATGAAAGATGCAGGAGGCAGCAGGGGCCTAGATGCACCAGAAGCCTTATACACGCGTGCGCACACACACACACACACACACACACCTGGGAAGACAGATGAGTGAAGCGATTTTGGACTGGTAGATATTGTGCAGTTGGTGAGCCAACAAGGGACAGGAAATAATTGGGCCTGGAGCCACCTGGAGGAGGTGACTGTTAATACATGGCACGAATTCTGCGACCAGCATTGTCGAAAGAATTACGTTCATGCATTGAGGTACCACTGCATTCAGGAAATGTGGGTGATCAAAGAGGAAAGGCAGCAGGCGGTGAACGGTAAATTTCCATCGTGCTGGTCTTCCTGTACATTCTTGAGGTTTTGTTCATTCTGTGTAAATCCCTGAGCACCAAACAAGAATGCCATCCTCTTGAAGTGAGCAGGTCCTGTAAGAGTGTGGGCGAGGAGAAGGGCTGATCTTTAACTGTTCGGCTTGAGTAACACCGTCAGAGGTGGAGGAGAATCCAGAACTCGTACCATGTCCTGGTGATCGGGGGAAGGGCAGGGAGCTTAGTTGTGTGTTCTGAAAAGTTTCCACGCCGCAGAAGGCTGGTACGTGAGTGGGAAGCCTGCCCCGGAAGCGGAGAGGAAGGGGTTGTGGATGAGGGGGCAGAAATGGGCAGGCCAAGGTCGCACCTAGGATGCTCTAAGCCCCAGCAAGGGGTGGATGACCCGCAGGCCACCACCAGCCTGGCCTCCATTCCCAGACCTGTTTTGCCCCAGCTGCACTTGCACGTGACCTAGCTCACACGGCGGGTTTTAGTGAGGTACAAGAGGAACATTCACTCTTTCTCCTCCTGTCCTGTGCCTCCCTTTCCCTTCCCGCCAAGAGCGGAATTCCGGTGCTTCCCTACTCTGCTGGGTCCTCTACCCTCCACCCTTGGAGGGCACAGGACAGATGGCCGTGGGGTAAGGGTGGAACGCCTGGCACACGGCCGGTTGCTGTGCTGCCCAAGGTGTATCTCTTCTCTGTCAACTGCCTCTCACCGTGTCTGGCTAACCTCTCTCCTTCTGCCTCCTCTCCTCTGCTGCCGCGCTTGCTGACCGGTACAGACCAACTCTACCAGCAACTTGAGCAAAACCGACGCCTAACTAACGAACTAAAGCTGGCCCTGAATGAGGATTAAAATTTAAATGTGAGAACAGCAGGGCCGGATTCTGGGGATGGAGCCCTTGGCAGGAGATCTTAAGACTGTCCAACCTTCAACTGCTAGAGTTGAAAACCAGTTACTTTCTGCAGGAAGGTAAATGAGAGGAATTAGCTGCAGGCAGCCCCTGCCTGTATTTCTCTCTCTATATGTGTAAAGTTAAGTTCTCTTTAATCCCCAACATCTTTTACGGTAAAGTATACATAGTATGTATATGGAGAAATATTTATAACAGCCAGCTTGACACTCTTTGAACTGATACACAGTGAGAAGCAAAAAAATTTTACTCTATTCCCCACAGAAGACTGAGTACTGCTTTAAATATATATATATATATATATATATATGATATATTCCATGTACCCCCTGCCCCTTCCTGTCTGGTATAGTGTTTGAAATATGATTAAATGTGCTTATACTTGGGCAAAATAGCTTTTGAAAGCAGGATCTCATGTCAGAAGTCCCTGGTTGTCGGAAAGGTAGGCCGTATGCGGTGTTGTTGCAACTGGGTGAGACTGTCGTGCTAATCCTAGAACCCTTTAAAAGCGTTCAGAGAATGTCCTAATGAAGTGTGCATGAGACATGTTGATAACTGTTCGTGAGCAATAGAAATAAATCATTTAAAAAGTTACCAGAAACCTCTCTATGTCATCGTCGTTTCCCGCGAGGTTGTGTTACAGCGCAGCCCCCAGACCTTTAACCGCTTGTAACTCCGAAGTGTCTGCCGGCACCGTATTAACGTCTCCAGTGTGTGGAACAGCACTGCAGGCTATTCGGGGTCTACCCGTCCCTGTTCCCACAGCACACGACTGGTGAACCGTCACCAACGCCCCCCTGCGTTTGTGTTCGACTCTCAGGGTGGGCCGCTGGTGACGGCGCCCCAGCCGTGCCGAGAGCCGGTTGTGTCTGTGACCCCTTGGGCTGAAAGACCTCTTCCCCCTTCGGAGATCCTTGTCTGGAAATGAGTAACGCCTTACAAGCATGCGTAGTTCTAATCATCTCATCCTGCCTTTGTGATTGATGTTTGCCTGCTTAAAAGCTTAAAACCGCCACTGTGTCCAAAGCGCAGCTATTCATGACTCAATTTTCTAATCCCACCACAGAGAAAGTGGCTCATGCCAAGGAAGAAAACCTTAGCATGCATCAGATGCTGGATCAGACTTTACTGGAGCTAAACAACATGTGAAAATCTCCTTAGCTGCGGCCACATTCTTTCATTTTGTTTTGTTACTTTGTTTTGTTTTTTTGTTTTTAACACCTGCTTACCGTGAAACTCCTTAAATGCATTTTTATTTACTTTTACCACTGGCACAGAACAAAGTATCAGCTAGAGCAGGGGGCGGGGGAAAACACAAAGGCAAAGCCTCTGTCGGGGCGCTAAGGGTTCCAATGTGCCATTTCCCGGGGTGACGTTGCCACACTTCGTAGAGTTTAGCCACACAGTTTGCTTAATCCGTGTAGGATTCTCACCGAAGCAGGAAGGATTTCCACTCAAAGTGCCAACGGGAGGGCAACAGGAGGATGGATGTGGAGACACAGCCAGGTGTGGATCGGTGCTACTTTAAACAGAAGGTCCCCCTGTGGTCTTTTGTTCGACATTGTACAATTTAGGATTCTGTCCAATGCTAATTTATTTTGTCGTGAGTTTTACTATGAGATGAGACTTTGGGTCCCAGATAGCGGTAGTCACAAAAGCCAAGGGTTCGAAAGCCAAGCTGCTTTTTTAAGACTTCAGGTCCTTTCTGACGGGCACACTGGAAGTCCATTACAGCTCTGCAGAGGAGAACTCCATGCGGATTTTCACTCTTTCCAAATCTCCATGTTAAAGTGACAGATTGAGGCACTACATGAAATTGGTGAAGAAAAAACATTTTCTTAAGAATTATAACTATATGTAAACGTTGTATGATGATGTGGAATAAATTGCACATTTTAGGACATTTTCTAAACCTGGTGGTCCTGTCATTTGTGTGTTTTTACTTTGTGAACTTAGACCGCGTTGGACTGACCTTCCTGCCTGCACCCAAGGTTTCTTTACGTGACACTCGGGAAAGTGGGGCTCACGTGTACCCCGCAGAGACACTGAAGACAGCCAGTGTTGGTCCTGTAAAGTTAGAGCAGGCAGGACCCTTTCCAAAGTCATTCTCCACCTCTTTGGTGTACACCTCCAAGGACATAGAGGCCAGGATATTTTTTCTCCCAGATATTAGGTCATTATTGAGCAGTGGCGTATGTACATACCGCCAGGTGGCTTAATGTGTCAGACTTGCACTTGTCCCCTGGCAGTTCGGTTCTTCTAAAATGGATCTTTGCATTTCTCTGTTCTCTGATTCACCTGAGTTCAAACTTGCAATGCATCTTCATTTTCACAGTTCAGTTTCGTACCGTAGCTGTCGTTCCCTGGCTCTTGAAGGCAGCGAGCACACACAAATCAGTTACACACACTAGTGGGTGACTTACATCGTGCTGCAGGAAGAAAAAGTAGGGTACCCAAAGTAAACACACCAGAATGGAAATAACTGAAAACTCACCGGCACCCATGGGGGAGACTGGTTAGGCAAAAGTACTAAAGGGGCTGGGGATTTAGCTCAGCGGCAGAAGCGCCTGCCTGGCAAGCGCAAGGTCGTGAGTTCGGTTCCCGGTACCGGAGAAAAACCAAAAAAAACCAAACAAACAAAAAAAAAGAAGTACTAAAGCTGTTCCTCGGGTGCTTTTAATCAGCCATCTCTGTAGAAAGACAAAGGCTTAAGGCAGAGAACCCAGCAGGAGTCTGGGGGCCTGGCTTCTAGACCCCATTTCCAGGGAGATGTCCCCTTGCCCAAGGCAAATAATTGCTGTAGGTCTCAGCTGTCCCACCATGGCTGTCACACAGGCATTTCCTAAACACAGCATTTTCATTTTGGGGGTCAGAGCTCACCTCCAGCCAGGACTCGCCTGTCATGGCCCTCAGTTTAGGTTGCTATGGTTGGATTT